CCTACGAATGTGATTTTGCAGCATCACCCTGTAGAATATATCCTTACATAGTGACAAGGATGGTAGTGGTTAAGGCGCTGGACTCCCACATGATTGAACTCGGTTCAAGTCCCAGATAGGGTGGCTAGGAGCTCACACCGAGCACACGTGTGCACATGCCCAAAATCCCGAGAAGGGAATGGAGGAGAAGGTTTTGTGGCATGGCCATTCCCCCTGGGCACGATTTCTCACTTTTCCTCTCTCTGTCTCTCTCTCTGATGAGCATACACACCCTGTGGCGAAAACCTAAAAATAAATAACAAGTAAAAAACTGACCAACCAAATCAACAACTCTTCTTGAATCCATGAGAACTGAGGCCACAAGTCAAACCATGTGGTGAGATGGACAAGGGCATACAAAGAATCATAGTTTACCAGGCAGAAACCCCTGCAGAACCAAGGGCCGGGTAGGAATATCTGAAGTCGAAGTGATGAATGGCTGAAGTTCTCCTCATGCACAAGTCTGAAAGTGAGAAACTCTAAGTGAGGGAACCCAGCTACAGTGGTACAAGAGGTAGGGTGCCAGTGGGTGAGGCTGGGGCCACAGGAGAGGCCTGGGCTCAGTTCTCAGACCAACCTAGACAGGCTGGGTGAGAGGTGCATGTCTGTGATCCTGCCTGACTGAGGAGCTGGGGCAGGAAGATTGCAACATGGTAGGATCCTGTCGAGAATCTCTCTGTCGATTTTGTTAAAAAACAAAAATAAGGAGCCAGTAGATGGTGTGGCAGTTAGGGTGCTGGACTCCCATAGGCTGACCGTGGTTCAAGTCCCAGACCTGGTAGTTCACTTTCTCACTTTCCCTCTCTCACTCTCTCAAAATCTGTCTTTCTCTGGTTAGTGCATGTCCCTTATGGCAAATAAAAAAATTTTAAAAAGCTATAATAATAATTAATTAAATTTTTTAAAATTTTATTTAAAAATCTCTGGAGAAGCAGACCTACTCCTAGGAGTCATAAAAAAAGAAAAAAGAGGAAAAAGGCTGGTCCCATTTGCCTAGTGGTTAAGGAAGCCAGATTACACATGGTCAACCACATAGTTCAAATCCCAGCCCAAACATGGGATTTGAAAAGCATGCCAGGCACATATGTGCACATGCCCTAAATCGCAACAGGCTGGAGAAATGGAGGAAAAATAAATTGCAGCATGAGCGTGTCCCCATGGGGGATGTTTTCTTCCTCTCTCTCTTTTTCTCTTTCCCCCATACACACACACTGACAATTTTTTAAAAGTGAAAATGAGGAACACCTTACAAAAGAATAGACCTGTAGCCTTGAAAAACATTATCGTCACAGAAATGCAAGGCAGGGAGGAATTGATCTGAACTAAAGAGATAATAGCCGAATGCAAGGTGTGATGATAAACTGAATCCTTCTACTGTAAACAACGTTATCGGGACAACAGGTAAACCTCGAATGAAATCTAAGGGTTAGGTGGTAGTAATGTAGGTTCTGATGGTTGTACAAGAGGACTTCAAAAAGTTCACAGAAATGGAATTAAAGTATGACTTTATTTTGCTGCAAACTTCTTTCATCCATGCATAGTTTTTTCATAATATGCATTTTCTGCGAACACTTATATTGTTGATTATCTAGAGAAAAGTCTTTATTTGAAGGAAATGTCCACTAATGTATTGTACTATTGGGGCATCAAGAAAGTCATGGCACATTTTTGCATAGAAAAACATAAAAAAAAAAAAAAAAGTCATGACTTTCACAATGACCTAATAGTTAACTAGGGCTGGGGCCGGGAGATGGCAAGGTGGTTAAGGGTACTGGACTCCCACATGGCTGACGGTGGTTCAAGTTCCGGACCTGGCAGCTTGCTTTCTCACTTTCTTTCTCTCTCTTCTCACTAAGCCATCGGTCATAGTGGATTACAGGGCCTGCCCTAATGCCTCATTTAACCTACAAATATATTCACATTCTCAAGTACTGAAGGACTTTGTCATATGAATTTAGAGGAAGACACACGTATTAAGGGGTAATGGGGCATTATGTCAACAATTCATTCTCAAATAACTTGGGGGGAAAAAGTGGGTTTTTTTTTTCATATAGTACTTTCAACTTTTCTGTAAGCTTGTTTGAATTAAAAAGAAAGGATAACATTTTATTTTTTTAAGGAATTATTTATTTAGTTTTATTTACTATTATGTTATTTTGCTATGGGATATGTGTACTCACTGGGGAGAGAGAGAGAGAGAGAAAGTGAGAAACCAAGCTGCCACGTCTGGACCTCAAACTGTGATCGGCCATGTGGGAGTCCAGCATCTTAACCACCATGCCACCCGCTGGCCCTAGGAAAGGGAAAAGACAATTTTTAATGTGGTTAAATATTGTTCTCATTTTCTTTCTAGAATACTCTAAGACAAAACAAAGGCATAAGGGGGGACCAATGGTTAGCGTAATGGCTATGTCGCTGGACTCCCATGTAGTCAACTGCGGTTTGTGTCCCGGACCCAGTGGCTTAAAACTCACGCCGGGCGCGTGTGCGTGCATGCCCAAGATCCCGAGAGGAGAATGGAGGAGAAGGGATTGTGGCGTGACCATCTCCCCCTGGGGGGTGATTTCTTGCTTTCTGTCTCTATGTCTCTCTTTGTCTGTCTGGTGAGCGCACACGTCCTATAGCGAAAACCTCTCCAAAAAAAAAAAATTTATTTTTAATTTTTAAAAAAGGCATAAGAATCATTGTGTTTTATAAAGATCCCAATGGAAATGTGTTCATTATATCCCTGACATGATAAACTTCAGCTATTTTAAAAATGCACTTCAGTGGAATACTTCATGCCTCGGAAACACCAGATATATGACGTGTGCTGTAATAGACATCCTTTAATGTCAAGTAACATGATCATAAATGGACTCCTCTATTTCGGGGCTCTGCTGGATTTCCCATATACAGTCAAACGCAGGCATTTTTCAGGATCAATGTGCTTATTTTTAAAGACGCATCTTCTATCATTTTATGGCTCTTTCAACGGCTACCAGCTGTGTGTGCCTCCCACATAACTACAAAGCATATTAACTAGCAACAGAGGGAGGGAGACAGGAAAGGGGGGTGTAAAGAAGAGTTCAATTTCATGTTACCGGTCTCCGCCAGATTATAACGTCATGCCATATGCTGTATGTATGATGGTGCTGGATCTAGAAAAAGCAGGTGGAATCCAAAGAAGGGGAAGATGGGAAAGGATAAAAACAGTGAGTGGCATATGAATAAAAGGACCAAAGGAAAAGGAAACTTACAGAGGAATAGTAAGACTGAATGCAGAACCATCCTTTTCTCCTGAGGCCTCTAACAGCCTTTCTTTCCTCCTCCAGATACATACCCTAGACAGACACTGTCCTCACTGCTCTTACCCTGGTCAAAAGCGTGTTACTGAGGCCAGCCGGTGGCATGGTGTTTAAGGTCACTGAATCCCACATGGCCAACTGTGCAGTCTGAGCCACTTGGACCTGGTGGCTTGAAAAATTTAGTGGGTGTGTGTGCATGGGTGCCCAAAATCCCAAAAGGAGGGAGAAATGGAGGAGAAGGGATTGTGGAGTGACCATCCCCAATACAGATGTGCTCCCTCTCTCTCTCTCTCTCTGTCTCTCTCTCTCTCTCTCCTCTGCTCTCTCTCCATCTGGTGAGCACACATGCCCTCTAGCAAACTTTAAAAAAAATTTTTTTTTTAAAGTGTGTTCTTTGAGCCAACAGGTGGCATGGTGCTTAAGGGCGCTGGACTCCCACATGGCCAACCACAGTTCAAGGACTGAACCTGGCAGCTTGCTCTCTCACTTACTCTCTCTCTCTCTCTCGCTTGTCTCTCTCTGGTCAAATTAAAATGAGTAAATAAATAAATAAATTTAAATAAAGTGAAAAAAAAAGTGCGTTCTTTATAGGCCTCTTGCTAAAGGTATAAAATTCCACTGTAAAAGAATTACATAAATCATTGCATTTTTAATTTTTTCTTTTTTTCACTTTCCTTTTAGTTTATTATTCATGACAATTGAATACACGTCAGAGTGTGAGAAAGAGGAGCAGCTTCTGCAGGGTCTGACCATGCCACCCTCCCCTTCCTCCACCTGTTGGATCCTGGACACTCATGCACGTGTCCAGCTTGTTTTAGGCTGACCAGTCAGGGATTCGAACTGGGAGATCTGGCTTCGTTTTTTTGTTTGTTTGTTTGTTTGTTTTAGGTTTTTGCCATAGGGCATGTGCTCTCACTGGAGAGAGAGACAGA